GCAATAGCAATAAGACAAAATAAGCGGATCAAGGGGATTCAAATGGGAAAGGATGAAGTTAAACTTTCATTATTTGCAGACGATATGATAGTGTACATAAGCGACCCCAAAAATTCTACCAAAGAACTCCTACAGCTGATAAACACCTTTAGTAATGTGGCAGGATACAAGATAAACTCCAAAAAATCGATTGCCCTCCTATACACAAAGGATAAAGAAGCAGAGAGGGAAATCAGAGAAACATCACCTTTCATGATAGCCACAAATAGCATAAAATATCTTGGGGTAACTCTAACCAAGGAAGTGAAAGACCTATTTGACAAGAACTGTATGTCCTTGAAGAAAGAAATTGAGGAGGATACCAGAAAATGGAAAGATCTCCCCTGTTCATGGATTGGGAGAATCAACGTAGTAAAAATGGCAATTCTACCAAAAGCAATCTATAGATTCAACTCAATTCCCATCAAAATCCCATCAAACTTCTTCACAGACCTTGACAGAAAAATAATCAAATTTATATGGCAAAACAAAAAAAACCCAGGATAGCCAAAACAATCTTATACAATAAAGGAACTTCTGGAGGCATTACCATCCCTGACTTCAAACTCTATTACAGAGCAACAGTATTGAAAACAGCTTGGTATTGGCATAACAACAGAGAAGTCGACCTATGGAATCAAATAGAAGACCCGGGTATTAACCCACAAACATATGAACACCTGATATTTGACAAGGGAGCTAAAGGCATACAATGGAAGAAGGAAAGCATCTTTAACAAATGGTGCTGGCATAACTGGATGTCAACCTGTAGAAGAATGAAAATAGATCCATATCTATCACCATGCACAAAACTCAAGTCCAAATGGATTAAAGACCTCAACATTAATCTGACCACTTTGAAACTGATAGAAGAGAAAGTGGGAAGTAGTCTACAAGATATAGGCACAGGAGACCAGTTCCTAAGCAGAACCCCAGGAGCTCAGACAATAAGAGAAGCAATGAATAAATGGGACCTCCTGAAACTGAGAAGCTTCTGTAAAGCAAAGGACACTGTAAGTAAGACCAAAAGGCTACCTTCCGACTGGGAGAAGATCTTCACAAATCCCTCATCAGACAAAGGTCTGTTCTCCAAAATATACAAAGAACTCAAGAAACTAGACACTAAAACTCTAACTAACCCAATTAAAAAATGGGGTACTGAACTGAACAGAGAATTCACAACAGATGAACTTCGAATGGCCAAAAGGCACGTAAGGTCATGCTCAACCTCCTTAGCGATCAGGGAAATGCAAATCAAAACCACTTTGAGATACCATCTTACACCTGTCAGAATAGCGAAAGTCAAAAACACCAATGATAGCCTATGCTGGAGAGGATGTGGGGTGAGGGGAACACTCATCCATTGTTGGTGGGAATGCAAACTCGTGCAGCCACTGTGGAAATCAGTGTGGCGGTTTCTCAGGAAACTGGGAGTCAACCTCCCTCAGGACCCAGCAATTCCACTCTTGGGTATATACCCTAGAGATTCCCCAACATACTACAAAAGCATTTGTTCTACCATGTTCATAGCAGCACTATTTGTAATAGCCAGAACCTGGAAACAGCCTAGGTGCCCCTCAATAGAAGAATGGTTAAAAAGGGTGTGGAACATATACACATTAGAGTTTTACTCAGCGGTAAAAAACAATGACATCTTGAATTTTGCATGCAAATGGATGGAAATAGAAAATGCTTTACTGAGTGAGGTAAGCCAGACCCAAAAAGAGGAACACGGTATGTATTCACTCATAAGTGGATTCTAACCATAATTAAATGTCTTTGAGCCTATTATTCGTGATCCTAGAAAAGCTAAATAAGAAGATAAACCTGAAGATTATTTAGCTACCCGCCAGGAGGTAGGAAATAGACAAGAGTCCCAGGTAACCTCGGGTGCATGGGGGGGGGGAGGGTTGTTGGAAGGGGAGAGGGTTAGAGAGAAGGGAGTAGGGGAGGAATGGGGAAAGCTCGGTGGCCTGGGAGGGGGAGAGTGAGGAACGTTGAATATGGGATCAGGGAAGAATATATTTCAAATAAGGGAGTCATTTTCGGGTTTACAGGAGACTTGATTATATATGGGATCCCAGGTCCAAGGAGAGATCCCCAGATTGTTCTCTGGACAGAGGAGAGGGTGCCTGAACCGGCCTTGACCCATAACCATACTGATATATATTTTGCTTATCACCACAGATCCTTTATCTGGCGAAGGACGGCGACACAGACGGAGACCCACATTGGAGCACCGGACTGAGCCCCCCAAGGTCCAAATGAGGAGCAGAAGGAGGAAGAACATGAAAAAGAAAATCAGGACTGCGAGGGATGCTATCACCCACTGATACAAGGGAACTGATCTAATGAGAGTTTACCAAGGCCAGTTGGACTGGGAGTGAACGAGCACGTGATCTAACCAGATTCTCGGAATTTGGCCGGATTCTCTGAATGTGGCTGGCCCAAAGTCTTTCTGAAAAGCCACTGACTATGATACTGGGACTTGTTTCCTCTGCATATACTGGATTTTGGGGATCCAGTATGTTTGGATACTCACCTGCCTGGACCTGGAGGGAGGGGGGAGGAACTTGAACTTCCCACAGGGCAGGAAACCCTGACTGCCCTAAGGGATGAAGAGGGAGGAGGAGAGGGAGTGGGGGGAGTGGGAGGGTGTTGGGAAGAGGGGCGGAAATGGAAACTTTTATAATTTAATAAAATTTACTCTAAAAAAAAAAAAGAAAAGAAAACAGGTAAAGGACTGGAAATGGATGGTACAATATGAATCTTTACCTGAGTTCCATACTTTATACTCCAAATTCCAAACACATCATAGATAATTAATGTAAATTTTGAAATAATACGCACATGTTGTTTAAAAAGATAAGAATGTTAGGCATGTCTGAGGATGTAGCTCAGTTGGCAACATGCTTGCCTCGTATGCATAAAGTCTTGAGCTTGATCCTCAGAGCTGCATATCCCAAGTAGAGTGGCATAAGCCCACAATAGCAGCACTTGAGAGGTTGAAAGTTGAGGCAGGGACATTTAAAACCTTATTAAAAGAAGAGTGCTGTGCAAAATATAATCATACTTGACCCCAAAAGCACAACTATGAAAAGAAAAATGGATTAGACTCCACAAAAAGAAAAGATAGGTGATTCATGGCTACTATAACACACTTGCTTATAAAGTGTGAAGAAACAGTGCTGTGCCTTTACTATGTGGTTGTCACATAAACTTAGATAAGTGACAATGTGCAGAGAGCTACACACATACATACACAAATCACAGAAATGGAAATAAGCTGTGGATGATATTAATGCCAATCTTTTGGTATAGCAGTTGTGCCCTAGGTAGTTTTAATTGTCAACTTGGCACAGCCTAGAGTCATTTGAGAGGCGAACCTGGACTGAGGAATTGCTCATATCAGACTGACCTGTGGACATGTCTGCAAGAGATTAAACTGACTAGGAATTGATGCAGTAAGGACCAGTCCACTATGGACAGAACTATCCCTAGGCAGGTGATCTTGAGCTTTATAAGGACGTTAGCTAAGTGTGAGTCTGAGCAAGCCACTGAGTAGATTTTCTTCATGGTTTTTGCTTCAAGGCTCCTGTTTGAGCTCCTGTTCTGACTTTGTTCAGTCATAGACTGTGGCTTGGAAGTGTCAGCTACTGAATCCTTTCCTCTGCTAACTTGCTTTTGGTCAGAGTGTATTTTCAAAGCAACAGAAAGGATAGTAAAAAAAGCAGAACTATATTATATTTGTAATATAATAAGAAAGAGCAAAACTTGAAGAGTACCAAGAACTTTCCTGAGTCCATATGGTGGTGAATCTTTAAAATTTAATTGGATATAAATTTTTGTGGTGGATTGTTGTTGCTTGTTTTGACTCTTTACTTTTTTACTTTTTTGTCTCTTTGGGTCTTCTGGGATGCCCATCACACAAATCCCAAATAAATCACATGTAGGGAGTCTTATTCTTTCTATCTCTTTATTTTTGAGCTCTGGATGTGTTGGAACTTACTCTGTATAACAGGCTGGTGTTGAACTCACAGAGATCTGCCTGCTTCTGCCTCCCAAGTTCTGGAATTAAAGGTGAGTGTCACCATCACCCATCTTATTCTTTCTTATGAATGTTGTGCCTTAGCTTGGCTTTTTCTTGCCAACTTTTCTTAAATTATCCCACCTATCTTTTGCCTCTAGCCTTTTTACCTTTCTCTATTTCTGGAAATCTTTCCTATCCTTCTTATTTCTTGTCTGGCTGCGTGACTGGATGACTGGTCCCCAGAATCCTCCTCTCCTCCTATTCTCATTGCTTGATCCCCCTATATCTCTTTTTCTCCTTCTATTTATTCTCTCTGATTGCCATCCTTAACTGTCCTTTCTCTTGCCTTGCTATGTATTAGGTCTTTTAAACAGGCAAAATAACACAGCTTCACAGAGTTATACAAATGCAACATAAAAGAATGCAACACATCTAAGCATCATTAAACAAATGGTCCACAGCATAAACAAATGTAACAAATCTTAAACCATTATTCTACAAAAGTAGATAATTGTGGTGGTTTGAACAGGAATGGTCCCCATACCCTCATAGTTTTGAATGCTTGATCATTAAGGAATGGTGCTGCTTGACAGAGATTAGGAGGTGCAGCTTTGTTGGAAGAGGTCTGTCACTAGAGATGAGACCTGTGGTTTCAGAAGCCCAAGCTAGGCCCAGTGTTTCTTTCTTCTTACTGTATGTCAATTTGGATGTAGAACTTTTAGCTACCTCTCCAGCATCATATCTGCCTGCATGCTGCTATGCTTTCCACCATGATGACAATGGACTAAACCTCTGAAATTGTAAGCCAGCTTCAATTAAATGTTTTATGTATTAAGAGTCACCATGATCATGGTGTCTCTTCACAGGAATAAAACATTATTAAAAATAAAACAATAGTAAAGATTTATATTTCTTCAAAAAGAACACCTACCCGATGGTTTGTGAAGATGGAGTAGCATTCTTTCACCAGCACTATTTTGATGATCTCTGGATCCGTGATAGCCAGCACAGGCTGTTGGCCGTCATATAATCTGAGGAGGAAAATCAGGTGGATTGAACCTCAGAAATCAGATTCTGCACCTGGGACTCCAGACTCTACCCCTGAGGCTGCACAGGCCACTCTCTAAGTTCTATGAAGCACAGTAACATGAAGCCCTACTTCAAGTTCTGACTATAGAAGCCACTGGAGTCTTGCAAAATGAAGGTTAGTGTGGCTAAAACAGGGAAGAGACACTTAGGATGAAACAGCTCTTCAAAGACATCCTTATTAAGAATGAACACTGGAACATCAGTTAAGGCTAGGCGTTAAACATACATGGTTATTACCAATACCATTCTTAAATGTTTAAATATTTCAGTATCAGTGTTGGACAGGTGGCTCAGTGGTAGAGCCCTTCACTATCAAGTATGTGGCACTGGGTTTGACACCCCAAGAGATAAAAACAATTCAGAGAAAATGAAAAAATGATTCCAAAATCAAAACAGAGTGTATCAGAGAGAACTAATCAGAGTTCCTAAAAATGTTGCAGGAGCAGTTGCTTTGGGTCAACAGAGGGCAGCACAGCCTGTGCTTGGCATTGAATCACATGGTCTCTAAGGATTGCATCACCTCAGAAGATCCTGTGGCAAAGTCTATGGTTTCTGAGGATGGAGGAGAGGAGATGAAGACGCAGAGCCTCCTCCCACTTCCTTGTGTCTCACAGCACAATGGTGGCACTTCCTCCAAGCCTCTGACAGGGAAGGGCTTTGTCACAAGCTCAGCCACTCAGCAAAACTGCTGAAGGCTTAATCTTGAAGGGGTAAACAGTGGCTTAAAAACTCACTTCATTTCTTCTTCAATATCAGCAGAATTCAATGGACAGGAAATATCCATATATTCTATTCTAGCAATAATTCTTATCTTGAAATTGATAGTGGACCAAAATCAAAATAGTGGTACAGATGTCCCATGTAAGGTTGAGCAATATGGAGTCTCTTGTCTTCATACTGCCCAGTGTGGATGGATCTCTATGTCAGTCATGACCTACTGAAGCAAGGATCTCTGCTGATGAGCACTGAGAAACAAACTAATCTCTGGGCCTGAAGACAAGTCATCTGGAGTACATTCAGTGCTGTGTCTAGTTTGCAGAGTGATAGTAGATCCTCCTTCCAAGGCTCAAGAATGATAGCAGAGGAGGTATAGAAAGATTCTAAGAGCTTGAGGCAGAAGACAATAAGGAAACTGTCTTCTGGACTCATATGAACTCACAGTGGTTGTGACAGCACTCGCAAGTACTTCTTAAGCCAGAAAAAAATCCCAGCATAGAGAATGAAGGTGGGCCGGAAGTACCATCCTTAGCTGACAAGCCAGTGGAGATGGCTGGAAGGCTAATCCCATTTCCTCCTCTCCAATTCCTACCATTACTGTTCCCCTCCAATTTCATGTGATCTTTCTTTTTTATAACCTTCTCTGTTTACTTAATGCTGTCAGTGTGTTGATGTGCATAGAGTCATCTATTAGAGCATGGGGTAGCCATGCAGGGGCCCCATCTCTGAAGAAAGCTTGTTCTCTTATGAGCCATGCTTTGCCAATTTCTCAGCTAGGGGTGAGACTTCCTGACCATGTCCCCCCACCATGCTGGGATTTTGTCTGACTTGATCTTGTGTAGCTTGATAGGCCACAGGTCCAAAATGGACAATAACAAACCAACTGCCAAATACTTATTACACCTATAGATTAGCACACGTCTCAGCCTTCATCAGAGAAGCTTATTTTAGCACACTGGTTCTCAACTTGCGAGTTGTGAGCATCGGAAAATACATATTTTTTAAAGACCTTAGGAATTGATATGCCTATCAGTAGCAAAATTAATGTTATAAAGTAGAAACAAAAATAAACTTATGGTTGGGGGTTCCTAAAACAATCAGAAAAGACAATCTCTGATGGTCATGACCCAACAGTTGAGAACTGCTGTTTTGGCAGAAGATGGTGACTAGCATAGAGACCCACAACTAGTCGACATGCATAAAATAAGATTGTGGTGTGCTTGTTCCTAAATGGGGCATCTCTGTCACACCCTTTCTTAGTCTGGGTTACCATTGTTGCAATGAAATGCTATGACGCAAATAAGTTAGGGAGGAAAAGGTCTGTTTGGTTTACAATTTCATGCCACAGTTCATCACTGAAGGAAGTCAGGACAAGAACTCACATAGGGCAGGGTTCTGGAGGCAGGAGCTGTTGCAGAAGCCATGGAGGGTTGCTGTGTACTGGCTTGCTCCTCATGCCTTGCTTAGCCTGCCTTCTTATAGAACCCAGAACCACCAAGCCAGGGGTGGCACCACTTACAATGGACTGGGCCCTTGCATATCAATAACTAATTAAGAAAATGCTCTACAGCTGGGTATTGTAGAGGCATTTTCTAACTAAGGTTCCCTTTTTTTCAGATGACTTTACTTTTATCAAGTAGCTACAAAATTAGTCAGCATATCCTCTTCCTCCAAGGCTCAGGCATTAACCCTGGAAGATGGGGTTGGAAGAACTGTAAGAGCTGGAGGCTGTAAATGACCCTAGTGAAACTGTTTTCTGGATCCAACAGGGCAGTTCCACATTTGAACTGACACTGGCATGACTACATGCATAGGACTTTCCATGTCTAGGTGAATCTCCATAAGGAAATGCTGTCACATGTTTCTGAGCATGTGCTTACAGGGTTTTTAAGAATGGACTTGATGTACTAGCAGGAAGAGGAAATGAACTGAGCCCAAGGGCTCTTGAGTTACCAAATCACAGAGAGTGCCATGACAGACAACACAACACTCTCAACTGAATTCATACTGTTCAACTTGATGCCTGTGATATGTATCATCTTTATCAGAACAAACCTTCAAAGGTTTTACCCCAAGAACTGTGTATGGACACTGTCCTGCTATGGGAGTTGTGTTATCTCAACAAGCATTCTGAATGGAAGATTTCAGAAGACTCACCCCCATATTTTTCCATACTTCTTATAGCAATATTCGTCAAATTTCCATGTACCCTGGGAAGAGAAGTAAAATGAAATTCATTCTTGTTCTGTTACCTATGAACCCTTCCTAACTAGGGCACAAATGACTCAAGTCTCCTGAAATCGGGCTTCCTGTCTCATTGGCAATCAGATGCAAGTTCTCAATAGAGATATCCGAAGGGATGGGCAGACTAGAGGAGTTGTCTGGAATAACGAGTTTAAGGCTGTTCTTGTACTTTCTCAGGGGTTTAGAAAACTGTAGTAATAGAGAAATGACATTGAGTCTATAGTCCATGATCCTAGAGAAGCTAAGTTATAAGGTGAACCCAAAGAAAAACATATATGGACCCACTTGGGGGTTGGAAACAGACAGGGTCACCTAGAAGGATTGGGAGCATGGGAGTGGGGGTGGTAGAGGGATGGAGGGTTGAAGAGAGCTTGGGGGAATGGAACAGTCAAGATGGAGGGGGGACAGATATGAGAGCAGGGAGAGAGATATCTTGATTGGGGGAGCCATAGTGGGGATGGCGGGAAGCCTGGCTCTGAAGAGGTTCCCAGTAGTCCACAGGTATGGCCCCAGCTAAGACCCTAGTCAATAGTGGAGAGGGTGCCCGTATTCAGATTGATGATGATCTTAAATATCACCATAGAAACATCATCCAGCAAAAGATGGAAACAGAGGCAGAGTCCCACATCAGAGCACTGGACTGAGCTCCCAAGGTCCAGTTGAAGAGTGGAAGGAATGAGAATATGAACAAAGAGGTCAAGACCATGATGGGTTCATTCACTGAAGCAGTTTTCCTGAGCTAATGGGAGCTCACCAACTCCAGAGGGACTGGGAAAAAATAAGCATAAGATCAAGCTAGTCCCTCTGAATGTGGTTGACAGTTGTATGGCTGGGACAGACTGAAGGGCCACTGGCAGTGGCACTGGGATTTGTCTATGCTGCATGTACTGGCTTTTTGGGATCTTATTCTCTTTGGATGTATACCCTGCTCAACCTGGATGCATTGGGGAGGGCCATGGACCTTCCACAGGGCAGGGTGCTTTATCCTCTCTTAGGATTGAAGAGGGTGGGGTAGGAGGGTGTGTTGAGGGAATGGGAGAAGAGGAAGGAGTGGGAATTTGTATTGGTTTTTTTTTAAAAAAATCTAATTAAAAAAGAAAAAAAGATGCAATAAACAAAAACAAAAAGAGAACACTGGTTATTCTTTCAAAGGACCTAAGTTTAATTCCCAGCCATCTGCAACTTCAGCTCCAGGGATCTAAGACCCTCTTCTGGCTTCCTCAGGTGGTGCACAGATGGTATATAGACAGACATCAGGCAAATACACATATTTAAAAATAAAGTAAGAGAGTGACACAGGTCTGCAAATCCTAGCACTCCAGAGGTGGAGGCAGGAGTACAACAAATTTGACAGTTGACATGGGCTGTTTAGTGAGATTTGGTACCTACAGAAACAAACAAACAAATAAATAAATAAACAGATAAATAAATACAGAAATGGGGAAACAACTCTAGAAAGGGGTGAAAAAACAATAGGGAAGGTGTGAATGTGAAAGAATGAGTGGAGACTACGGAAATCACAGACAAATGGAAATGCCCTTTCTACAAGAGGGCAGAGTACAGGAAACTCACTGGGTCTAATTTTTCAGTACTAAAGGTGAGAAATGAAGGCTTCCTATCACTGAGAAACAGCTGTGATGTAGTGCAATGGGCACAGCACCTGCCAAGCTCTCACAAAGCCCTGGTTTGCATCTTTGGAGGCTTGTCGTGGCCACTCCTGCCTTTAATTCTAGGACTTGGGAGGTGGAGACAAGAGGATGAGAAATTCAAGTCATCCTTCCCTACATTGTGAGTTCCAGACCAAGCCTTGGCTACATGAGACCTCATAAGGAAAAGTTTCACTAAAGGAAGTGTGCCTAGCTCTTGGGGGAACGTCTATTAGAGAGTTCAGCTGGGAAGGCTGGAGTTCCCAGTGCATGCCTGGAGGCCTGACTTTACCTCTTGCTTTTTCACTCAGGAGTATTTCTTTTCCACAGGATACACACATGGCATTCTTATGTGAAGAATGAAGTGATAGGAAGCCATGAAGTGATGGTTGTCTCATTTAGAAGTCAGGATTGCAGTAAGCTTCTAGCTATAAAATGTAGAATCTGACAGACAACTAGAGTCTTTGGGGGCATGAAATCTTAGCAGACAGCAGCCCTTGGAACCTAATTTCATTACTTTCTGGCCAGGTTTCAGCCTCAGGCCAGAGTCAGACAAGGCTATCCACCAGGAATCAGTCGTTCCTTGCAGATGGTACCAAATTTTTGGTAATTGTTGCTTAACCACCTTCCTATGGTGATTCCATAAAGCGAGTTCACCTCAGCTCAGAAAAGCAGAATTTGCTGTGGTATCTGAGGGTGGAAAACAAGCACCATTTTGTCTCAGTTGCAGCCACATCCTGCTCACACTGGCGCTCATGGTGCTGCCTTGAAGAAAAAGAATCAACACAGAACACCATTATTGTGTCCAAGCTCCAAAGATGCCCAGGGTACTAAAGCATGCATAGAGCCATTGAAGTAACTGCAGGGAACACAGAAGTCCCTGAGAGGTTTCTGGTAAGGGGGAGTTCCCTGTAGTCAATATACAGGACACCTGCTCCATGGATGCTGCAGAGCTGGCCAGCAGGAAGAAAACTAATGCTGCTCCAGAGTCGGGTGTGAAGTCTAGTGCACACAGGCTGACACCATTCAACCATGACCAGGCATGGTTTCCCATGAGTGCTGGCTTAGGAACCTGTGCCTTCCTGGAGGCTCTCCTGAGGGAAACCTGAGTGTGAAGTCCTGAACACCAGGCTCTAACATGTCTGCAGCCATGGTTTTTTAACCAAAGCAAGTTGGAAGTTTTAAGCAATGTTAGCAAACCCTAAAAGGAAGCCTGTGCACTCTCCTGGTTAGACACAAAGTTTCCAGTGGTCTGACATCCCAGAACTTCCTCCAGAGGACTGTCATTTGCATCTATGGAAGTGATCCATAAATGGATGCATAAGTAGTTGTAGTTGGGCTGAGTGTGTTGGCACAACCTTTTAATCCCAACATTTGGGAAGCAGAGGCAGGAGGATCTTACACACTCAAAGCAAGTCTGATCTACATACAGTTCCAAACCAAGTTGGCTAAATAGTAAGACCCTGACTCCAAAAAGGTCCCAGAAACAGCTCTGCAGTTGGAAGGACTGGCTGCTCCAGCAGAGGAACCAAGTTTAGTCCCCAGCAGCACCCACATGGTGGTTTACAACCATTTGTAACTCCAGTTCTAGGAGACCTAATACCTTCTGTGGACCTCTGCAGGCACTAGGCAGCACTTGAGGGGCAGTGGCAGGTGGATCTCTGTGAGTTTGAGACCAGTCTGGTCTATAGAGCAAGTTCTAGGATAGTCAGACAGTCAGGGCTGTTGCACAGAGAAGCCCTGTCTTAAAAAAAAAAAAAAGAAAAAGAAAGACCAAAAGGAGAAAAGAAATGAATGGAAGCACTTAAACACTACTCACTTCACGATAGGAAAGAATGGTGCCAAATAAAGGCAGAGGTTTTGGTCCAGGAATTCCGAGTTTCTTAAAAATCCTATGAGGATAAGTCCCATATCTGTAAAGTAACAGAGAAATCCAAGTTGTCAGGATTGCGATTGTGACTACACAGGTGAACATGTGTCAGTCATTGACTCAAGAACTGCAATAATCAAACCACTGAAGTATCCTCTAGGCAACAAATAACAGTAAAACCTAAACAACTACAATACCAAAACCTGGATGGCCAAAAGCTTGGAAGGATTTTTAGGGCAGAGAGGACACTGGGAAGAAGATGGGTAGATATGAGGAGAGTTGGCAGACAGACAGAGAGGAAGCAGCAGGGGGAGTGCAGAGTAAAGGTAATAGTCTTGAGGGAAAAACGTAGACTGATAAAAATGGATTAATTTAAATTGTAAGAGCTAGCTATCAAATGAGCTTTCCAAATTAATAATGTCTCTGTGTTGTTATTTAGGAACTGGCAAATGGGACACAAAAATCTGCCTACAAAGCACCTCATCAAGGCCTAATTAGCAACTGGGATTCTTCCCCAAAGATTGTGCTGGATACCTTTTGCTATTAACAAATAAACAATAAATCAAAGAAAACAACAACAAACGCATTTAGTGTAAAGTGGTTTCCATATTGCAAGGTAGAAATACTGGTTGTAGGAAGCAACTGTGTTCCAGATAAAGATCAGAGAAGAGAAGAATGGATGTTGACCTTTCTACAAGAACTGGGGTATTGTACAAATTAAGTTTTTGGTTTGTTTATTTGTTTGTTTGTTTCTTTTATATTAACTTGACTCAAGCTAGAGTCATCTGCGAAGAGGCAACCTTAGATGAGAGATTGTCTCTGTCGGATTGACTTGTGGACAAGTTGTAGGGTATTTTCTTGATTAATTATTGATGTAGAAGGACCTGACACTATGGTGTCATTGGTTCCTGGGTTGTATAAAAGCTGGCAGTGTTCCTCCATGGCTTATGCTTCAGTTCCTGCCTTCAGGTTCCTTCCTTGGCTTCCCTTCATCATGAACTGTAAACTGTTATGTGAAATAAACCCTTTCTTCCTCAATTTGCTGTTGGTCATGGATGGTGTTTATCACAGTAGTAGAAAGCAAATTAGAACAGAGTCACTATGTGACTTTGTGCAAATCGGGTTGGAAGTGTGACAGATGGGAACAAGAAACCAGCCATGTCCACAGGAAACCCGTCATATATACACCACTTAGGCTCACAAAAGAGAGAAGGAAAAGAAAATGAGAAAAAAACACCTAAACAACTAGGCTGTTGGAGTTTCAAAATCTTGGAAAGGCCATGACTGCCAATGTATGTTAGTAAGAAGCAACATAGGGAGAAAGGGCTTATTTTACTGACAATTCTGTGTTGCAGTCTATTGTATCTGGGAAGTTAGGACAGAAACTTGAATATCAAGTCACAGTAAAGAGCACAGAGAGACTAGACAAAACCCTCCAAGCAATAAGATTAGATAGAGTTCTGAGTGGGAGCTCACAGGATGGCCAACGATGATAGGGACTACCTAAGTGCTGATTTGCCACTTTCCCTCCATGATCTCTTTGGCTGTTTTAACAGGAAAAGGAAACAGCCCTGCATATTACACCAAATTCAGTTATAGGTAGGAGAGGAGCCTGGACAGCTACTCACATGTAGACAAGCACCAGGCTGGCAGCCAACAGCACCAAGGTTTCTGTGGATAGGTTGGGGATGAGCTCCATTTCAGCTCTCATTCAAGAGCTCTGGCTCCAAGGTTCCCTCCCAACTGAGAGTCTTGGCGGGCTCCCTTGCTGTGCCCAGCTGAGATCCAGTGAAGCTAGTCTACAGTGTTTAATACTCTGGGAAAGGAGGAGGTGTCAGGGCTACAGCCAGTAGATGGGCCACTTGCACATTGCCTGAACTTGGAGGTGTAGTCCCTCCACGCAGCATTGTGAAAGTGCCAAAGTTCATGAATTTCCCTGCTCTGACCTTTGAGTTTGCATTCTATGTATATTTGTTCTTTCAGAAGCTCAGATCCATTGGTACTACTTTTTTCTAATTTGCAGTTGTGTCCATGGCTATTCTGATTCCAAAACATATTAAATCCACACAATTAAACTGTAGATACTGATCTTTGCCTATGCAAGGCCTTTTTCCTTTAAGACCCCATGTGTCCCTGAAGATGTGAAACCCACGACTGAAAATCACTTCCCATTCTGCACTCCTTTGTTCCTTGGCACAAAATTCCATTCTTTTTCTCTGTACTCTTACATTTCTTTTCTCTTCATGACATTTCACGGCATTCCTTCTTATCCTCCAGCTCCTGCCTTCTTTCCTCCATCTTTTCTGCAGTGTTAGGGAACTGCAGCCTTAGATAGGAGGGTTGATATAGACATCTAATTTATAGTAAGACACTAGCAGTCACTATGTCTCTTTTAATAGATCCTTACTATCGGATCCCAGGCTTTTCCCCTGCTCTGTGAGGCGCAATACGCAAAACGCAAGGACTGTTTATGCTAACCAGCCAAGCTTCCTGCTAGCGTCTGTGCTTGTTCTACCAGCCCAGTTAATCAGCCTTGAGCCTCGTTTTATCTTTGATATCTTAATTTCCCACCTGCAAAGAAGGGTTCCCATGGCGCCTAAACCTCTCTTAACTGTCTGTCACTGTGCTCTTGCTAGCACCCCCTGCCAGTGGAGGAAATCCTCACAGGCACCAGGCTGTTCGCGCTGTGCTCTCACATCTGGCTGGGAGGGAGTTTTCTCTTCTGGGGAAAAGAGTATATTAACCTGGCGGAAGCTAAATAAATTTGGCATTCAGCTATTTCTTGGCGAATGACCCAAATCTGTGTGTGTGTGTGTGTGTGTGTGTGTCTCTGTTTAACCTCCAGACCCAAGCTCGTGGTGAGGTACAGAAGGCGCGCAATCCATACTGGAAGGAGGGAGGTGCAGATTCGGGTAAAACCCACACTTACAAAATCTGTTGGGTATGTTATGGTGGTATTTTCATTATCATTCTATGGACACAGAGGCAGGAAGAGGTAAAAGAAGTGTTCAAGACAGAACCATGAAGGCAGGAAACAGACAGAATTCTGATGAATTATAATTTTGTAGATAGCATTGTGCTTGTCTTTGAAAAGATTCCTAAGAACCCTGATGATCAAGTCAGCATCACACAAGGTAAATATTTCATTGTACACCTCTTAAAATACTCCTAGTATGGCCAAAATTGTTACAAAATGGCTTTATAAGAACAAAATCCACATGAACATCTTAATATTCATTATTAAATTATATGCATGTTCTTAATTTCCAAGTAGTAGGATGCTATGAGCTACGTTCGAAATGACCAAGTAAGGGGACTTTGAGGTCAGTCAGAGATAGGTATATTAGTTACTTTGCTATTGCTATGAAGTGATGCTATGACTAAGGCAACTTAGAGAAGAAAGAGTTTATTAGGGGCTACAGTTTCAGGGGCCTAGTCCATGGTCATCATGACAGGAAGCAAGACAGCAAGCAGGCAGGCATAGTTCTGAAGCAGTAAGTGAGAGCTTATATATTAAATACAACAGCTGCAAAGTAGAGAGAAAGCTAAGGATGGCATGAACTTTTGGAAGCTTAAAGCTGGATCTGGGTGGTGGTAGCTCATGTCTTTTATTCCAGCACTCAAGAGGCATAGTCATGAATATAGACAGTAGGGATTAGACAGAGAAAGTCTGTCTCAAAAGAAAAAAAGAAAGGAAGGAAGGAAAGAAGAAAAAGAAAGGAAGGAAGGAAAGAAGAAAAAGAAAGGAAGGAAGGAAGTAAAAGGAAGAAAGGAAGGAAGGAAGGAAGGAAGGAAGGAAGGAAGGAAGGAAGGAAGGAAGGAAGGAAGGAGTGTCAAATACTACTTTCTAAAAAGGCCACACTTCCTAATCTTTCCAAAATTGCTAGTTGCATTAACTAGGGACATAGTGTTCAAATATATAGACCTTTGGAAGCCATCATCATTCAAAGAACCACAGCAGGTGACTGAAGCTATCCGCCATCTAGAACTTCTTGCAATTAGAGTTAAGACACAAATTATGACAAGTATTGATTGTTGTCAAGTAGTACCATCGGCATGGGATAATCCATGAAAAATATTAAACAAAGACTTCATCTAACCACACGAACTTCATGACTTTCACTTTGTCTTCACTCTGTGTTGGGAACTCTGATGACAGGGATTTGGCTCAGTCCAAATGTACAGCCTTAGGAACAACTCCAGTGCTGGCCTTGGCAAAGTTGCCTTTGACAGCTTTTCCTTAGGCAGTGTACATTAAAATGGAACCTAAATACAGTTATTTATTTAAAATAGTTATGGAAAAGCCACCAATAATGATATGAGCTAATGCTTTCATATAACAGTATCTCACTGACATGTCTTTGTTGATGAAGAAACAAAGATCTCAGCCTTGAATCTTTAGGAGGTTCAGAATTCCTTTCTTCTCCTTTCCTCCTCCTTCTCTTTCCTCCTTTCAAGTTTGCTTGGTATTTTTTTATTCACTTTAAATTTTCAATAATCATACTCCCCCCCATTACCCACCCCATCATCTCCCATGACTCTCACTTATCCTTTTGCCACTCCTACTGACTCTTTCTTTTAAAAATAAATTTATTTTAATATTATGCGTATGAGAGCTTGCCTGAATGCATATCTGTGCAACATGTATGTGCAGTGCCAGAATAGGCCATATGAGAGTATTGGATCCCCTGAAACTTGGATTAAAGAGGGTTCTGGTCTGCCATGTCCATGCTAAGAATTGAACTGGGGTCTTTGTCAAGAGCAGGCAGTGTTCTTAACGGCGGAGCCATCTCTCCAGTTCTTCACTTCTTCTGAACTAGCCTCTCTCACATATCAGGGTCTATTTTGCATGCAGCTCCAGTGCAGTTATCCATAGTTACTGTGTCCATTATTGTAGTGTTCCTGTCAAGTCTAAAAGACAGCATTTCACAGTATTCTCCCCTCATCCTCCATCACTTACAGTCTCATAGGGTCTTCTCTTTAGCATATATAATCTATGGATATGCCATTAACTGCCTTTTATGGTAAGTATACTTGTTACTCCTAGTTTGTACTTGAGGAGAGTCAATTTCAACATCTACACCTGCCTGAGATAGGTTGATTAACGTCTGAACTAACCAAGGCTTCTGAACGAGCTGACATCATACTTTGATATTTAACAAAGATAATATGTGCAAGTCAGCACTATAAAAAGCAAGAGGTAGGTGAAGTTTTGTTCTGTTTTGTTTTTGGCATTCAAACATCTATCTTTTCCTAAAAAAAAATCTATTAAAGTTTTCTCTTAAAATTTATTTTGATCCTATTTCCCCTTCCCCAATTCCTCTCTGATCCCCCCTCCTCTCCCTTCCCACCCTACTTCAATGGTCTCTCTCTCTTCCAAAAAAAACCAGACTGCCTTAATTAGGGTTTAATTTGCTGTGAAGAAACACTATGACCACAGCAACATTTATAAAGAAAAATATTTAATTTGGGTTGACTTACAATTTCAGAGGTTTAGTCCATTATCTTCATGGTGGTGAGCAGGCAGATATCATGTTGGAGAAGGAACTGAGATTTCTACATCTTGATCTGCAGGCAATGGGTACTAAACTTGCCAGGAGCAAAGGCCTGTATTTGGCTATAGTCAAGCCATCTTAGTTCACGAGTTAAGTAAGCTACTCACCAGAAGCTCTCTAGGAAAAGTTCTGGGCCCAGGAAATAACCCAGTATTTCTTTATCTCTCTCCCACGAGTTAAGAATGCCTGCAGACCTGCAGGTCCCAGGCTCCAGAAGTATTGCTCCTGTTAGTTAACATTTACAGACCCTCAGCATTTCTTAATCTTTTCCTGTCAACTAGGAATGTCTCCAGACCTGGCATTACAGTTAGAACAATTGCATAGAAATCTACCCACCCTCTGCCCTTTTGCTATATAATACTCCTGAGAAAAAAATAAAATTTGCAGCTTGATCAAAATACCAACTTGCTGTCCATTTTCTCATGTCTCTCGTCCCTCCATTTCTCTCCTCCAGGGTCTGGGTATCCAATTCGTGTCCCACTGGTAGGGACATAAACTGTGTCCCACACTGGGAGTAGTTTGAGCATAGGAGACTGCAAAGCCCACCCCCACAGTGACACACTTCTTCCAACAAGGCCATACCTACTGCAACAAATGGACACTTCCTAGTAGTGATACTTCCTATGGGGAGCATTACTTTTTACACTACCACATAGACTGTCTTAGTTAGGGTTACTATTGTTACAATGAACTACCATAATCAAAAAGCAAGTTGGGGAGGAAAGGGTTTATTTGCCTTACTGTTCATTATCAAAGGAAGTCAGGACAGGAACTCAAGGAGGGTAGAATTCTGGAGGCAGGAGCTGATTCAGAGGCCATGGAGGAATACTGATGACTAGCTTCTTCAACTTGACTTGCTCAGACTGCTTTCTTATAGAACCCAGGACCACCAGCTCAGGGGTGGCACCATCCAGAATGTGCTGGGCTCTACCCCCCATTAAGGCATCAATAACTAATTAAGAAAATCCCTATAGCTGGATATCATGAAGTCATTTTTTTAATTTTTTTTTCAACTGAGACTCCCTCCTCTCAGATGATTTTAGCTTGTGTCAAGGTGACATGAAACTATTTGGCACAGAAACAAAACAAATCAGTGCCTATGCAGCTTCAAGCCAGGTTGAATATCAGGACTGTGATGGAGAAGTAGATAGGGGCTCCCACCTCTAACCAAGAAGATATTTGCAACTGATAGCCCTTGGCAAAGGAAAAATCCATTTTCTCCAATGAAGTTTCCCT